CTAAAGGAGGCTATAATTATTGAGGCAAAGAAGACACTGAGGGAGAAGAATTGCAGAAGCAATGCAAATGAAGAGGCGCAGAGCTCATGTAGACTGTACTTGAATACGGATCTGAAAAAAACACTTTATGGCTGAGATGTTGCTCAATAAAATATCCAAGGACTAGAGAAAGGTGAAAGTGATGGTATAATTTTAGAGAGAAATTTGCAGTAGTAACACAGAAGATTTACAGGCTTTTGTTGCACAAGATGTCTAAGGGAATATGTTGAGAACACGTACCTGTACAACAGAGCAGAAGTAGAGACTCACAAAAGCAGGATAAATAATGTTCAAGAAGAGGTTTATTACACTAGAGAATGAAGATGAGAAAGGAGCAGGAACAAAACATTGTGTGGTGACAAATAAGAGAAGAGCAACATATCATGCATACAAAAAAGAGAGGCCAAGGATGAACAAAAATAGAATACAGGTTGTTAGAAGAGAGAAAAGTCTAAGGCAGCTGATTTGCTTACTGGAGTAAGGAATGCAAGGACTAATGATGTCTGTCAGTACCATTGAGACTAGCCAGGAAGCCCAGAGGGAAAGGGAGAAAGGACTGGTCAAGATAAGACCTTTGTGTTAGGGAAAAAATTAAGATTACTCAAAAATTAAGCAGGTCATACTTGGGGTTTTTTGGTGATTGGTTTTTTGGGGGGTTTTTGTTTGGGTTATTTTTGAGGGTGGGGGATAGCTTTTTGCAAATAGTGAAAAATTCTTGAGACATTCCAGGATTCTGAATAAGCTGGACACAAAGTTCTGGTAGGGGAACATGTTATTGAAGTATGAATCACCAGTGTGATACAGTCATTAAGGAAACCCCAGCACTAGCCAGTTCCCTATTTCCTAATGGAAGCACCAGTTTCTAAATTCTTCATGACATCTCAGTATAATGTATGTTTCTGGTCATTTCTTCTCAAGAACAATGAAGCATAGGAGGATTGCTAGGAAGATCACAGAAACAGAAGCAAGTGTCTTCAAGAAATTGCATTGTATAGTTGTAGTGGGCTGGCCATGGCTGGCAGCAAAGCTGCCTCCCAGTCTCTTGCTCACTCCCCACCCTAGTCAGACAGGAGAGATAACTGGAAGGGTAAAAGTGAGAAAAACCCAGGGACTGAGAGAAAGATAATTAAATAAGTAAAGAAAAAAATATGAAAAAAAAACCAAACCAACCCCACAAGTAATGCAAAAGCAATCACTCACTACCTCCCAACAGAGCAATGCCCAGGCAGTCTCAGAGCAATACTTACCTTTGAAAAACTCCTTCCCTCCCTTTAATGCTGAGTGTGATGTTACAGGGTATGATGCATCTCTTTGCTCAGTTTGGATCAGCTGTCCCAGCCATGATGCCTCTCACCCCAGGGGCTGGAGGTGTTTGGAGAGAGCAGAGTGAGAAAAAGAGAAGGCCTTGCAAACATTGTTCAGCAATAGTTAAAACACTGGTGAGTTATTGAAACAGTTTTGGTCACAAATATAAAACATAACACCATGCCAGCTACTATAAAGAAAATTAACTCTATCTACACTAGACCTAGTACAACAGTCAAGCATAATGCAGGCTGAGAAAAGACTGTGTCAACTTACTTATCAAAAAAGGATTACAATGAAGGAAAGAGCTTTTTTTAGACTGAAGAACAGTATTGCAAGTGTATGCACATATAAAGAAAAGCTGCTCAAGGACTTGTAGTTTTAGGACATAAATACTCTTAAAAAAACCCCTAACACAGTTCAAAATAAGCAATTAAAAATACTGGACCTTCATAGATAACATGAACTTGCACAGCAAATAAACTTTCTTAGTTATGAATATCACAACTCACAGATTCCCTGAGAAATGTATAACTAAATCTTTAATAAAGACATTTAGATACATTGTATATAGGCAAAGATGTGATTTTAGCTTTCTACTTTCCTTCACATGTAATGCAAATATTGCAAAGACCTATGAATTTTTTTTTTTTTATTAGATTATAGTTTCTGTGACAGCCAAAAGCAGCAACTGTTCTTGCCTTGTTAAAGAAAAGTTTTGTCAGTTGCTTATATGTTTGCTTATTTAAAGAGAAAAAGCTATTCCTGTGGCTTAGATTTACCCAGTGGTAACTGCTCTTAAAGTGCTTCATTTTAGCTTCATTATAAAAAAGCAGCATTCATTTTCCAAACAGATTAGTGTGTATATCATAACTCTCAATTACATTTTTGAATAACATATATTCAGTTACAGAGACTTTAATCCTTAACATAGAGTTGGAGGTTATCAGGACTCAAGCTACAGATAAAAATATGCATGTATTTAAATATGAGCTACTCCCTTGTCCAAAGTTCAAGCTTCTATAAAACAAGGGTAAATATCAGAGATGTAATGAAGACATAGAAGACATAGAGGAATTATTTAATGATTAAATAGAGTATGAAATGAAAAACTGACACTAGCCAAAAAAATGTTTACATTGCAACAATGTGTGCTCAAGACAGGTGAATAATTTTTCCTAGCATGTAAAGGGAGTTAACATTCTTGATGTTACTGAATAATAGTTTGTGTTAAATAATTAAGAAATTCCAGTAGGAAACAGCCCTGAATTGTTGAAAGAGACATGCTACGTGATCTACTGGACATTAAGAACCTCTTTCTTTGAATTCAAATGGAATACCCTTTACAGTATATGTGTAGTATATTCTTTATATATTTTACAATCAGTACAAGTTCTTTATTACTTCTAAAAACAATAAAATAAAATAGTTACCTATCACATTTAAGAAAATCAAAGATCAAGGCAACTAGATTAACCACTACGAATACTGCGTTCCATTGTCATCATAATTATTTATGAAAGGAAGCAAATGACAAACTAATGATCATACTGGTTCATTATTCGTTAGGTATTATAATGTATTATTTTCCTTACCTTGAATACTTTGTTCTGTGGCATAAATTTGACAACATATTTGGACTGGAACTCGCTCTCAAAGCAGCTTTTTAAAGGCCCCATAACACTAATTATGAATCAAAAAGCTGGGAAGTGCTTATGGATCCAACACAAGTCTTTCATGTTTTCCTTTGTAGCCATCTCATCTTGTTTGATAAAAACTGGCTCGTACAATGATAAAGCTGTTCATCTATTGCAAAATTTTTCTAATATATTTTAAATATTTTAAAATTAAACATGGGACTAAAACATGTTTTCTTTAACTATGTGAAGAAATCAGATTTTAGATTTTTTTGAATGCACTTTGAGTTTCCCCATAGCACTATTTTTGAACCTCAAATAATTTTATTTTTTTTTCAGCCAAAAACCAAAATAGAATATTTTAAGGATTGGCAAATCAAATCAAACCAGTTAGTATGCAGAGTTAAACCCTCCCCCCAAAACCAAGATAATGAAGAATTTCAGATCAAACTATAGTAACTGTGGAAAGGTTACAGCCTTTCTGTCATATTACAACAATGATTTAGGTTCTTCTGACCAGAGCCAAGCAGTTTCTTTTCAATCATATTGTTGTATATTTTTTAAAAAATAATATTATTTATATATACTTCATATTTTGTTTTTAATACTCACATATTTTCAATTTCCATTTTTTGTGGAAACAGTAACAGGTTGTCCCTTGGTTTTAGACATTCTTTGGGTAACAATAACACAGCATGTTCCATACTGAAATAATTCAGAAGATGGATGAGAGATTAGTTGCTCTGCTCTCACTGCAATTTAGATTACCTATTTATGATTTACATAATTCTCATTTAAGAGGTTTTAGACACACACAGGTGATAAAAGGGTCTTGCACTGCTTTCCATTATTGAGTGTGGAAATTTATGTAGTGATTATGTTATTCTGCTATTTAAGCTGTATCTATGGATTTTGGAAACAAATACCCGCAATGTATTTAAAACCTTTTTTACTTTCCAGAGCTCCCCTTTGATGCTTGTATAACTCTCTTGGGTTTGCCAGTAGATGTTTTAAGAAGGTTGCTTTCAGTAAGTTAGCTGCAAGGTTGACAATGTATAGATTGACTTCCGTTTTGATATTTTTACCATGGCACAGTGCTAGCTCTTGTTTTACTTTGTTCTCTGGCCCACTTTTAAATGTTCACTTGCAAGTTAATATGTAAACAAACTACTGCTAAAGAAACATTGCTTCAGTAAGGTAATATAAAAGTGCTGTATATATGGTAAGAAATAAAACCTTAGATCAAAAGCCCAGTTGCAGATAATTAACCTCCTCTATGAAGGAACTGTATCAGTTTAATTCAAAGGGCTTGTAACTTTGGAACAAAGGTTCCCAGGCTATACACCTGGGAAAAGGATAGTTGTAATAGTTTTACAATTAAAAAGGAATAAGTGAATGTAAGACATAATGTAGCCACAAACTGGCTTACTATTCAAATACTTTATCTCCAGTTGCTGGAGTCCTCTGACAGAATTCTTAAAAGTATCCCTTCCCAGTTTTAGATGTATATACAGTAAATAAAGAAGTATAAATATATACTATATCCAAATATTGTATTTAAGATCTATACACATAACAACAGTATTTGAAGTATTTGATACAGTTTAATATATATGCAACCATGATATTGTAGGTAAGATTATAGTTGTAGGTAATTAATAGAATTTGGGTGATAAAATATAGCCATGGGAAAGATCTTCAGGATGAAAACAAAACAATCCTTTAATATTGCCCCTGCATTAAATTGCAGCCTACAGTATGAACAGAAAAATAAATAAGGAGCCCAGGATGAGTTCAGATTTTTTTAGTGTGTCTTCAGCATCTGATTTTCTACCAACAGTTTTGTAAAGTGATTGTATATTTCTGCAAGCTACAAATCAGTTGGTCTTTCAATCTATACACAACAGGTAGTCTTGTCTTGATTGGATGTCTTGTAAAATTCGTTAATTAAGTCAGTAGTAAAGCAAAATTCTGTGAAATTAGATTATGAAAAGCTATTGTCTTGGTTGTGTCTTTCAGAAAACACACCTGAATAGTATTTGTCTGCAACATCAGCTATATCTTCTGCTGAAGAGCCATTTACTTTGCCTTTTAAAGAATGAGATGAGACTAATCATCTTCTTCCTATGGTAACTACAAAGTCAATGTCAATTAGACAGTAAATATAAATTATTAATTTTTACTATTACAGCTGTTACTTGCCTCTGGTCACTTTAGAGAGTGGATCCTCTCCTACCAGGATGTGTAGTCCTCCACTGATTCATAGACCACAGTCCTGTATTTTACTCTGTCTTTGGCTCAGCTCAGTCTGGTCAAGAATGCATATTTGCCCTTATCTCTCTGATAACCCTCAAGTAGTTGCAGTTGCATTTACAGACCTCCATCAATTGTCATATGGCTTTGCAATGAAAAAATCCCCACACGTGAGCATTTGAAAATATGAATGATGAATGATGCATATGAGATGCCTTCTTTGAATTTCACTCCACTTTTATGTCTTAGAAAACCAGCCCTGCTCCTAGGGCCTACTTGCCCCACTTTTTTTCCTTGTGCCCCTTCAGTTAAATCTCTTTGCTAAGATCTGTCATTTCTTCTCTTTCTCCCCCTGGCAAAATCATGGTAAGCGTCCTCTAATTCTTGTTATAAAATGCCTCTTTTAACTTTCATAAAAATCTTGTAATTTTTGAGCCTTTCATTAAGGCTTAACTGTTTAACAACTCCTTGTTGTTGACAATTGGTCTGTCTTTCC